GGTGCAAAAGAAATTGCCCTCTCCTTTGCAGTGATTTATGGGAAGGAGAGATGCTTCTTGGTTAGTTATTGCCAAGACACTGGTTAGACTCACTGGGCGTGTCCAACACATGCGTGTCCAATGCACATGCGTTTCCCCAGGGACAAATAGTAGCAGTGCATAGTTGGTGCTGCTACTTGTCCCTGGGGAACGCCCATGGATGTGTGCTCTGACGCATGGCAAGTTGCCCCAGGTGGGTTAGGGGAAGCACCTGGGCTAGCCCCAGCAACCACACCTGGGGTCCTGGAGGCCAGGGCGTCAGCAATGGTAATCCAGCAGCAGGCAGCCTGGCCACCACTGGAGTATGGCTCCAGCCAGCCAGGCTCCAGTTTAGGGTGGCACACATTGCCACCACATGCGCTGCCCGAATTTTTTCTAGCGCAGGTTTTTTTTGACACCAGGATCTCCCAGTGTCAAAACCTCCATCCCCCCACACTGCAAATTAGCAGCGCAGGGAACGCTTGCATATGCAACGTGTGCAGTGTGCGTGCTCATCTGGATGTGCCTATAAGGTTATCGGGAACTTCAAGAATCATCCAGAGCAGTGGTTTTCAACCCTTTTTCATTTGCAGACCCCTAAAATATTCCAAATGGAGGTGGGGATTCCTTTGGAAATTTCAAATGGAGGTGCAGATCCCTTTGAATTTTAAGTGTAGGTCTTCACATGCTTTTGATTGATCATAGTCATCTTTCACAGACCCCTCAGTCTGTGGACCCCCAGGCATCAGCGGACCACAGGTTGAAAACCACTGATGTAGAGTAAGCCAACTCCCTACCCAGATACAGGATTTGCTGCTACTGAATCATCTCGGAGAGATGTCCAACAAGCCTCTTTGTGAAAACCTGCAATGAAGAGTTAGACAGTGAAAATACCTATACGTGAGCAGCAAGGCTGCTTCAATGCGCTGTAATTACAGTGCATCAGAGCTGACTCGATTGAGTCTGCTGGAGCGTGGTAATTACCATGCTCCAGCAGCCTCCAGCGTCTCGTGTATCAGCATCCCCATGCTTAAAAATAGTGGCAGGCATGTTTTATCTAAAGAGCTGCTCCAGGCACTTTAATTAGAGCAGCTCTAATTAAAGCGGCCTCCCCACCACTCCCACACAGCACATGTATAAAACGCCCTTGGGTGATGAACTATGAGAAATGTGAGCTACATCTTTAGTAATATAAGCTCTGCCTAGGCTCTGGAAACATTAATTTATAACAGATGAAATTCTAGCCTTGACAGTTTTAAGAAGTTCTACTTTCCTTCCTTCATCCCTTTTTATGGTGACTGGGAGGTGACCAACTACTCGAGTGCTTGGAGCTAGCTAAGTACCTAAGTTAGAAATCGCAGAGAAGTATAAATTCCTTTATACATTTTTAACTGGCCAATAAAAATATCCAGGCTTTGCCAGTTGCTTAACCCAGATATTTGTGGATTTAATTATATATTCTCTAGAGAACTGTAATAGCTATGAGGCCAAGTAAACACAATACCTACCAACTCGATGGGAATTTTTGCTCTGAGAGGTACTCCGAAGGAGCCCAGAAGTAAAGTGCTTGCTAAGTTCTGAAATTCTGAAACCAAGAGATTGCATCCCCATGAGTGTAACGCTTTTGCAAAGTGCTTTGCAGACAGAAAACGCTGAGTGCTGCTATATAAGCACCAGGCTTTTACAGTTAACAAAAATGAAAATTCCACAAGAAATGAGGCCATTATTTATTATCCGTTTATGATATCCTGAAAAAAAAACAAATACTGAGGCATGAAAACTGGCTGCTGTAAGTATGCAGTGATTTACTTGGACAAAAATGTCACTGGATATTCCCCTGATAGACTTAATGTGCAGCCATTAATAAAACAGACTGCAACAGCTCTGAAGGAGCCATTATAATCTACTGAGTCAATGATCTGCAAACACAACTATATGAAACCCAAGTGTCATAGTTACAGGGCCGGCTGTCCCTCTGTTCCCATCCTGGTCTCTCCAAGTGCATCCCCTTAGAGTCTTGGGCCTTGTGCCTTTACCTCTCGGAGGGTATTGTTTATTTTAACAATTTTAAAAGGGATTTAGAGGAAAAGGATTTAAAACAGCAGTCCATGTACAAATCTATCCTACTAATTCTTACTGCCCTCTTATGGCAATGTGGCCAACTTGTGCCACACATGCCACAAGTGGCACTGGCAGCCTGTGTGACATGCAGCAGATCAGGAAGAGGGCCGGCAGCACCAAGACAGATAGGGCAGGGAGCACCAAGCAGAACTGCGGATCAGATTGGGAAAGGGGACTGCAGTGGCACTTGCGGAGGGTGTGGGGCTTAATCTGTGGCATGCTTGCTAAAAAGGGTGACCCTTGCCAATAGCGTGACTGAGGGAGGGGGCAACCAGGGCAGCAGCCTCAGTTGGAGGAGAAGGGGTGGAAAAATAGCTGCAACCAGCACTGCCCCAGGTGCTGAGAGGCTGCTCTGGGCTATGCTTCTGGTCCTCACTGTCCTATGGTAGCTAACATAGAATCATAGAAAATGAGGGTTGGAAGGGACCTCAGGAGGTCACATCTAGTCCAACCCCCTGCTCCAAGCAAGACCAGCCCCAACTACATCATCCCAGCCAAGGCTTTGTGTAGCCGGGTCTTAAAACCTCCAAGGATGGAGATGCCAGCAACCCTCCGGGTCACCTGTTCTGGTGTTTTGCTGCCCTCCTAGTGAGAAAGTTCTTCCTAATATCTAACCTCAACTGCTGCAGCTTGAGACAACTGCTCCTTGTTCTGTCATCTGCCACTACTGAGCACAGTCCAGCTCCATCCTCTTTGCAACCCCCCTGCAGGTACTTGAAGGCTGCCAAGGCTTCAAGTTTATAGACACATGGACATATATTATATATATATGCATGCTTAAAGTATGCCTAGCACCACAGGGCCGTGACCCATGGCTGGGATCCCTAATGGTAAATAACAGGAATGCTTTCAGAGATAAGGATGAACATCATCATAGCTCACTCCACAGAGCCTCATCATTGTGTATTCACAGAATGCAGTCATCCACTGTCTGGAGATCTCTGCAGTACAAGACAAAACAGGCAGGGTCAGTGACAGATCCATCCCGTTCTTTAAACTTCTCTACTCATAGCTTTTGTCCTCTGCCTCCCCATCAAGACTCCCAACACGAACCTCCAGCCTCTCCACCTCCTCCTCTGAAGCTGAACATGTTGGTAACTGAAAGAGGCTGGCAAGTTCCATTTTAAACCAGTATTGATTTCAAACAGATCCCTTCCTGCTGCTGTTGACACAACAACTTCCTTCACAGTATCAGTCTGCAGAAGAGGAGACAGCATCACATCTAATATCTCAGGGCTATAAACTGAAGCATGATGTGACCCTTCATCCTCATCCCTGAGGCACAGGACAAAATGCTCACACTTCTGGCCACCACTGATAGCACAAGAGGCAAAGCTTTCCCAAGATGCTGGCCAAGAGTTTTGCCCTGCAAGATGCTGAGTGCCATGGCCTTGAACCAGGCAAGCAGTTAAGGACGAGCTGAGTTTCCAGCATGTGCATAGTGCCATTGAGCTGCTCAAACCACCACAGAGGCCGTAAGCACCATGGCAAATAGAGCCCATTACTTTTTCCTCCCAAAGCACCATAAAGATAATGTAATAACAAGAATAAAAAACTTACCGAGTGGCAAGTGCTTCTCCAAACCCAGCTCTAGGCTCTTAAAGTTCACTGTCTTCCACCTCTCTAATCCAATTCACCAAAGCTAATCAGAGACCAATTAATGAATGAGAAGGATTCACTTCCCACCTTTCTCCTGTCCAGCTCAATAGGACATGGACACGTGGAACAGACTTTATACAGGAAACATCAAACGTGATGTTCTTCAGAGTGAGAGTTAGTCAGCCACAGAGATGCAAGACCTGATTTAATCTCGGTCTGCCCCTCAGCAAGAAAAGAACTGCCTTGCAACTGAGGAGCTTGAAAAATGCCCTTTGATTTGCTTCAGAGGATGCCAACAATACTAGTGCAGGTTGGGAACATGGACTTACAGGGAAAAGAACTGGCGCAACACAAAGGAACTGAACACCCAGGGGAAGTGCAGCTTATTAGAACAGAACCTGTACAAGAAGCTGATGACAAAAGGACTGGAGAATCCTTCGTCTGAAGGGCTCATTGGTATGGGTAGATGCTTAATGGTCCCACACTGAGGTGTTCTGTACAAGCAGGAGTCCCACAGGTATTGTTGGGAGTCAGTAAGCCCTTCATACAAAGAAAAATGACAGTGGCCTATATCCACCCTTGGGGATCTTGTTCTTTCTAAAAACCACCCTGTCCTATACCTGGTCCTAGTCACATCACAGGGCCCCTAGCTGTACAAACCTCATCGGCTACTGGGTTTCCCAGGCGGGGTACGTCATGAAATCTAGGGTTTGAAGGTAACAGGGGTATCAATTGAATATAACTGAGCACGCACCTTGTTTTTTACCCATCCCTAGCTTTGTTTAATACAACAGAACTTCACGCCTCCCAGGCAGCCCCATGTATCCTGAGCCCCACATGCTCAGGAAATGCCAAGAAGCTAGCACCTAAAAGAATTCAGCATCTGAAACAGGAGCAGTGGCAAAATGCTTGATTAACTATTGCCCTCCCCTAACCCATGAGCCTCACAACCCTGAACCTTTCCTCAAGGAAAGAAGCTTCTCTTAAAGCCCAGCTTGCTGCATTTGCAATTGGCGTGCTAGAGTGTTGGCAGAGCAATGCAAGACCAAGCCCTGGAAACAGAAGAGGAGCAAACACGGTGCATGGGTTCTCTCCAGATGGGATGCTATGCGACTGGGGATGCAGAGCCAGATTCTGCCCCACACACACACACAGAGGTATGAACCTGGAGCACATCCAGTGAAGACAGGTTACTCCAGATCTAATGAAAGAGCTCAGGAGACAGCCCACCTACTCAAAGGATAGAAGAAACTTTCTCTTACCAAGGCCCTGGTTTTGCTGTTCCCATTCGATGGTGTCTGGAACTTGGTAAGATACCCCAGCCAGCTGTGCTTCAGGGTTGCCCAGGCCAGCGAGGGGTTCTTGGGAGGGCTCACCAGGAAGTGTGAAGCCTGGCAACTCAGTATCCCCTTCCATGCTCTCATCCATTGAGTCTATATCTTTGTCTTCCTCTTCCTCTTCTTCTTCCTCCTCCTCTTCTTCCTCATCCTCCTCCTCTTCCTCACCCTCTGAGGGATAGAAACCAAAAGAACAATTCTGAGAAAGACCCAGCAAAACAGATTTAAACCTACAGCATATCTCTGTGTCCACTCAGTGAGTTCACTACCAAAACCATGATATATTTGTTTTATTTGACTATTTGGACCAAGCTGCATGCATTTGATAGGACATACGACACTCATGAGAGGTTAATGTGGAAAAGTAAGAAGATTTCTGAAGTTGCCAAGTAGCCATGTTCTCAGGCAACAAGACCTGTTCTCATGGACTAGGAACAGAAGTTACATGTAAACCGGTAAAAGTGATCAGAAACCGGTTCAACTTTGTAACACAACAGAAATTCAGTGCATATAAACCACTTTCAAAATGGGGAAAACCGGTTTAAGATAAATCTGGATGGGTGTAGTATCAGATTTAACAGATTTAGATTTAATTGGTTTATTGAACTTCTATCCCAGATCCCCTCCAGATTCAAGTTAACTTAGAGTCCCCCCGCATCCCAGGATGCTTTGCACCTCCCCTGCAAACCCCTGCCCGCATAGGGTGGGCTAGCCTTAGCCCAAGCTGCATGCTCCTGCTGACCTGGGAGGCATGCTCTAGCACCCCCTAGCTTCTAACCTGGGCCACTGCAGGCATGTGGCTGCATGTCCAGAATCAAAAGTGAATCCCTGTCACTTGCGTATCAGTTCAATCTACGCAGCTTAGACTAAGCTGTGAAGGTTGAATCAATTCAGCCTCGGGCTTTTTGACTGTCTGTACTTAGCCAGGATGATGTACACATCACTGGTAGAGTACATACAAACCCAATGGGAGAAAAGGGGCATAGGCATAGGCACTTGCACAGCTGATCATCTTACCTGATGATTCCCATCTAAAGTAAGAATTAGTTTCCTAGTTTTCAAGCCTTAAAGCTGTGACAATTTGCTTCCATTAATATTTTCACAGCATACAAAAACTGCTATTTTCCAGCCCAATTAGACACAGCTTCTGAACAGTATACAGTTAGAAGCCTTATCCTGCAACTTAGGCTGCTAACAGGTGTCCAGAAGTCTCACTGATTCATATTTGTCTGTAAGGACAGGAGCCCAATTTTAGGCATTATAGGATGAGCAAGGCTGACAAATAGTAAGAAGAAATGAAGTGAGGGAAGACAAGCATCACTTGGGTCATGCAATTCAGGCAAGCTACTTCTGGTGGCTTCACCATTTTTCTTTAATTATTTTGAGTCTTCTCTCATAGAGGCAGATGCTCTTCTGGTGCAAGATGGCACCACTCCCCTACCTATACTGCTTTACACCAGCTGAAGTGACATTTTAGGAGGGTTTCAAAAAAGGATTCAGGAGTATTTAAATGCAGATCAAAAGAGGTTGTAACACTGTCACCTCAGAACTGGTTGCTAAAAGGGGCAAGCAGGTAAAAAAGGCAACCAAGTGATAAATGGTGGTCAGAAATACCAATGCTTTTTTGAATTGCTGACAGTCTGCAAAACACAAGATCTCCCTAGTTTACTGTGTATGTAAAGCTCAGTTCAATCTACCATAAACTGTCCTGCAGATGTCATCAGCAGGCAAGACACTAATGCTTGTGCACTTGAAGGTGCAGTTGAGTCATGCAGCCTGAGGCTTACGTTAAAAGCAAAAGTTTCAGACAAATCCGGAGTTTGCCATGAGGATGCTTTATTACGTGAGTATGCTGAGTTCAAAGCAAGCTAATTACTGCCTTGGCAGCAAGCTAGAACAGGCCAGCTCAGATAAGATAAGGCAAGCCATACCAGAGGAAAACTCATATATAGCACTTATCACAGGATCAGGGGTTTTGCCTTAGCAATTCATCAACACTGTTCTGCTCTACCCTCCTACTGGATGCGATTACAATCTCATTTGGTTCATTCAGACAGTAAACAAGCTGGATAAATGTGGAAAGGAGCCTACTTTGAAGAGGAAGAAGCCCAACTTTTGAATGCATTCTTGCTTTGATAGTTTCTGTATGTTTTCTTTGCTTCGTTTTTGGATGTCCTCCCTCCGCATTGTATTTAAAAAATCAGGGTGCCTAGACTGACATTGCCATTTGCAAGCCTTCCATGTGCTGCACCGCACTCTGCTACTATCAAAGAATAGCACGACATGGATTTTTTTCTTTTAAAGAACAAAAAATAATTCTTTTAAAAAGCTACACTGCTTCTCAGATCCTCAGACACAACAGTGATCCTGCGCTGCATTTGATTTAGTTCCAGAGTCCTACACAAATGAGCTGCTCGTCAGACTTAGCTGCATCACACTGATATATGGTCTCTTCCCGAAACCCATCAAGAGAAGACCAATCTGAAGAGCAATTAGATCATGCTGAGGACTGAATGGAAGTCACAGGGGTGCTATCTCTGATGACTCACCCTCACCTGCAGTTACATGACTCATCCCCACACGCCCATTGCCTCATTGGCTAGTCTACCCGATGCCTATACAGAAAGCCAGTCATTTATGAAACCTGCAAGGAATCGGCACCAGTCTCCTCACTGTCAATCCATGACCCACCAGCCCCTGACCTTGCTGTCTGCTTAATAGTTAGCCCCAATTCCCTGATCAGTGACCCCCAATCTTACTGCTTATCTGATATCAGTTGTAATGTGAATGTGATGTGTGTAACAGCAGGAGGAACCAGGAGGCAGTCTGCAGGCCTGTGCTGACTGTTAATTTGGGCTACAACTCCCAGGACCCCCACCAGGGGCTGGGGGGCAAGGCAAAAAGGAAGAGCAAGCTTGAGGCTACTGTAAGGGGAAGAGAGAGCGGTGTGCACGTGGAGCCTGGTCGGCCTTACACAGAGGGGTGTACAGTAGAGCTGGAGATCGCACTGGCTCAGTCAGCCAGGACTGTGGACTGAAGGAGCCAGACTCAGACTTAGGGGCAGGGGCAGGGCAGGCTCTAGGGAGTAAAGGCTTGTTTGGGGACACCCCTGAAGGTGTAGGGGGAGATTAAGGTGTTAAGCGTACGTTGCCACAGTGTTGATGTTTCCTTATCTTCCACCTGGTCCCTCTCCCTTTGGCCCATTGGCTTGTGATCCTAACCCCAACGATTCTCTATATAAAAGTGGGACCTCTCCCTTGCTTTTTGTGTCAGTTTCTGGGGCTGCAAAGTTGGCACAAATTGGTGGGAGCAGTGGGATTCTGAAAGAGGGGGGCTAGCCCACAGGTGAGGTAAATAGAGATTGGCAGTCACAGGCCATAAGGCACGGGGCAAACTGGTGCAGTGAGTGTATAGATTTTGTTTGTTGTATGGGCATTTAATCATGGAAGACAAGTACCACAGAGGAGGGGTTACCACCAATGGAAGAGGACAATACATGCACCCCACCTAGTGTTAATACCTATATTCAATCCATTACCCTACTGTGGTGAGCAACAAGAATGGGGTGACTGGAACAAACAATTTGAAATGGCAACTGAGTTAAGTGGGTGAAATGAGGATACTTAGCTAAAATTTCCAAGTCTGTTGTTCACAGAGAAGGCCAAACCATGGGCCTACCATGGGCTCAGCAGTGAAGCCAAATAGGATTACAAGCACCTAACGGGGTCCTCAGCAATGCATTGGAACCAAGTCCAGGTCTTGACTGGGACCATGCAGCTTTCTTTAATTGTAAGAAGACTTCCACAGAACGGTCTGTGAGAGTTCAGCACTGCCTTAAAACGATTAGCTGTAAAGTCCTTTCCACAAGCCAGCCCTGAGATGCTGGCCCATAATCTGTTCATCAGCAATGCCTTCAGTGGGGAGAAGCAGGTCCAGCTTCAGTTGGGTAAGCCTCGATGATGCCATAAAGCTAGGCACTGAGATGGAAGTGGTGAAAAAAATTGGAGGCCCTAGATATCCAAGGCACCAAGACAAAGGTACATGTGCATGCCAGCGCATTTGCATGTCAGCAGCACCCACTCGAGCCCTGGAGTTGTCAGTCTTGCAAGCAGTGATGGAGACATTGAGAGAGATCCAAGGTGAACTGGACCAGCTCAAAAAGAGTATGGAAACCCAGTCTCAGTGCAAGCAGGAGTTCCTGCTTTTAACAGCTTAGCCCTGTCTCTAGGTTCATACTTGGCTGTATGACAACTTCAGCCTTTAAACATTCATTATGTTTTGTAGGAGGAAGGCAAGGTTTCTTTCTCCTAATGAGTTTGCCTTAATGCTATTCCTGTTCTTTCCAACCACTGCATGCATTCCCATCGAAACACACAACCCCCATAAAACAGCCCTGGAGCCTATACCTGCTATGTCACTAGGGGATTTTGTGCAAGAAGCTGGCAAAGATAAGCAACGTAAGTGTTGGTTTTCTCTGCAAAGAGAAATCCTGCCAGATACAGGAAGCTTCTAAACTTTATGAGTTAACTCAAGCGGAGGAAAACTTTCAGGGCTAGGGGAAACTTAATATGCAAGTTTCTGTTGCGCTGGATTATAATGACAAGATTTTGGGGGTTCACCTTGAAGCACCTGGAACGCCCCATTTTGACAGGGTAGGCACTTCTGCATTTCCTGAAATCAGGCCCCCTTAAGGCATCTGAAGATGGGTACCCACACATTCAGAATCACTGGTCACCTTTGAAGCATTGGCCTTAAAGCTGATCTGATGAAAGATGTTTGTGTTCACCGAGCTGCGAGAACAATATCCTGTTCCTACCATAAGGATCAGTTAGAAGTCCCCATGGCATAATCACTAGAAGGGACAGGATGGCCACTGAGCTCTTTTTCCACCACCTACCCCTTTCTCACATCTGGAAAATATGGTCTTTAAAAGCTCCTTCCCCAGACACTAACACACTGTGGGAAGAGAGTAGTGAGAGCACCACCTGCCAGTCACTGTGTGGAAGTACCGCATCTAAAAAAGCACACCACCTTTTACAAATGCTGGGGTGGATGAAGGGAAGGGGAAAGGAAAAATCAGCAGACTGTGCCAGAGATGGACACACTACTCCTCAGGCCTGATGCTCCCACCTGCCAAGACTGGGGCAAATCCTAGCACAGTTCAATTCTAG